GCGCAATGGGCAGTATATGGGTGGATTACGGGAATCACAGAGATATATTTTGTTCGGAAGCTAACAGTCAGGTCGTCCAGTACTGATCAAAGCAAAAAATTGAAAAGTAGCCAACTGAATAATTAGAGGCCGTCCGGTAAAACGCAGAAGGCAAAAGTATAAAAGGAAATATGCATTAATCATTCGTTGTTTGCTTCGCAGCTGTTGTGCCGAATTGGACCAAAGTGAAGGGTGAGGTTATTTCCGGATTGTTTCTTATCTAAAACCATTTCGACGGCATCTGGCAAATCCATCCTCATTCTACAAAGCAATTAATTTTCTTTGAAATTTTTAAGCAGAGAAACATATGGGCTGAATGATCATCTTTTATCACTGAAAACCAATAATGTTAATACTCTTTATCAGGATTATCCGAATCTCCCAGATGATTGGCGTTAGCATTAGGCAGCAGAATCTCTAGGATAACCCTATCCTGTACCAAGTTCAGATCTTTCGCTGCTGAGCTGCATGCCTCCAGTGAGTACTTACTTTATGTGCAAGTAAAATAACGTGGGTGGCATAAAACGTTGCAGTTTAACATTAGATACTAAATAAGAAGCGTATAGGTTCTCGTATTTTTGAGAAAAAATGTTCGTTTTTACCACTCGTTGAATGGCTCTATGGAACTACACAGATGAGAAAAGCTCGAATCGAAAATGAAGAATTTGCCAGCTGCATTAGTGACGAGAAGAAACGTGACCACTAAACAACAAACGTTCCACATACCAATTGCCAGAATATACCGGTTATTAGTACTCCTAGACGAGATGAGGTTGCAATGTCTAATACTCCTTTTCCTCACTTCATTTTTTTACTATTTATTACTACAATTCATTAGGTTAGTTATATTTGGACTGTTTAGATCAGTTATCATAAATCATCACAATCTAGACACCTCAATATTAGTAAGTTGTAATTCCTGGAAAAAATTCGCCAAAAAGGGAGTTTTGAAAGAGTTATCGGGTCAAATAGGAGAATGGGAAGGGAAGGGACACGACGTGTTTACATCCGGTCCCAACGTCTTCGACCACTACATCGTGACAGCTGAGTGATTTTAAATGCATCGCGAGTCCTGTTTTGCTCAGGAAACAACATTTGCGCTTTTTTTGTGGGCTCATCCAGTATTCATATGAAAAATTTCAACAGGCTTCAAAGGTAGACGTCATGGCGGTTTCTTTCTGACCCTGCCCACTCCGTCTGTTTTTTCTTCCCCGATGTTTCTTCCAAGTTTCACATTATTGTACATAGAAGATGTTCTACCGTAATATGAATATGTCGCATACGTGAGTGTTTTCCGCCTCCTTAAGCTTTTGAAAATTAATATTCAATAATTTCCGTTGATTTTTTAACTACGACCAAAAAATTTTTCAAAAATTACTGAATATTGACTTCTTCTGTATGAATCTTCCTGAAATACTGCGACAACCCTTACGTCCCTGCTCCGCATCATACTGGAACGCTTTACTAACTTCTGCGGCCCAGCTGTATGATTGCAAAACAGTGAATAAAGTATATGGTATATTTGATAAATTTATCAGGTGTTTCATCATCACATTTTTTCTCGCCACTGATGCAGCTAGCAATTTCACCATTCTTCTCTGTTTTGGGCTTCTCTGGTTTAATTAATTCAGTGTAGCCATAATTACGTGTACCTAGATAGTGATAATAGCAATTTCTTATCATTATGGGAAATTCAGTTGACAATTAATTTCTGTTGTTATAGATTACTTGTTGTTAAAGATTATCAAAAAATAACACATACTAGTAAGAGTCGAATCTATGATTTAGTCCAGCTCACCTCTGTTTTGTTGATTTCTCTCGGCGGTAAATTGGTACTCTTACTTGCCAGGGAATTAGAAATTCATTCAGTTTGCTTCTAAGCAACCCTCGAAAGAGATGTTTGAAAACTTTGATCAGCGACTTATCACTGCTGGCAGATTGCTATCATTTTTTACCCTTTCAGAGTTTCCTTCCATCACTCACACTGAAATATGGAGAGGGTTTTGATTTTTGATTGCTGACGATACCTAAAAGAGAATCATTTGTCAGAAACCATCGTTAGCAGCTTTTTTCCCTGGAAAAAAAGAGTCCTAGTGATAGTGCTGGTTTCCGTCATTGTTTATGCTGTGCGCCAATGTATGGAACCTTCAGCGCGCTATCATATCATCAGGAGAGGCGTCTGCTCCAAGCAAGTTTTGCGAAGTATTTTTGTTTTATAAACCATTCATTCATCGGTTCCTCCGCATTCTCTCCGTTCCTGCATCATTTATCATTTGCCGGTTTTTTATTCCCATCCGAATCGGATTGTTCGGGTATTTGTTTCCAAACATGTAATGAAAAGAATAAACGACCTAGAGTTGCAATGGTACGTGGCGCACAGCATTTTCCATCTTTTTTAGCTCATGTTCAAAAAAAATATTTCTGAAAAATTAACCCTTAACAGATCACTGCGATGGTAAATTCAGGTCAAAGTTGAAAGCCCTCTCGCCGATCCATGTTTGACTCTGTATAAAAGGTGAAGAATACCTTCATCTGGTCTAGTGATGGTAACACTAGCGGTGAGAACGAATAATTAGCCCATATCAAAAACGTCTCGAAGCTGCAAAAGCCTTGCCAGTTGGTTCTGTCGAGAAACCGTCGAGCAAGTAATCCTCTCAGAAAACGAAACAAAAACAAGATGGTCATCATACTGACCGCCAGACACTGAAGTATTGGTTAAAAGAATTGGAAAAGTTATCAGCTGCGTATTTGGAGGACCACAGTATGAATTGCAGCTAATTAAGCATCAAGTTTTATAAAGTGAAGTATTGTATTTTTTTTTCTCAAAAAAATGCTAAGATTTTCCTTGCTTTTCTCGTTCTCCCTTATTTGATCAAAAACAAAACTTCTAGAAATCAAAAGTTAGAATTTTTTTGTCCACTTCAGTACAGGTGAAATTTTGATTTTCTGTGAGACACTTGAGAACCAGCGCACGAGTAGCAAATGCCAGGAGCAACCACATCCCTGCAAGGCTTCGATGCATCCACACGCTGAAAAGGCATTTTTTGAATATTGTCTGCAAGCAAGCTGATGGCGGGTTTGATTCCTTCCTGACATATGCCAGTACCAATTTGTCATCAGAATGTATGAACAAATCGTAAGTGGGTTGGTAGCCCTACCGATAGACTCGACTTGTGTGAGAAGCGCCGTGTCTGCTGGCTTTGGAGAAGTATTCAAGAAAAACTGCAGTAACTTTTCATGTAAATATCTTGATTGTATCAGATCAGTAATTTACTAATTTTGATTGCAGTGTTTTTCGAACTGATTTTTTTTAATAAGAATTACTCATTTTAAATGAGTTGTCATTTATTAGGGAAAAAGGATCGGTGATTAATTTGTACAATATAAAAGTTAATTGATGTAATTTGGTTAGTTGTGATTTATTCGTCATCGTTCTGTGCTGGTTTTGAGGTTCACCAGTGAAGAGATGAATAAGCGGCAAAGAAGGAATGAGGTTCTATGAATTGTTTCAAAAGATGTCTTTTTGAGAGCGCTAACAAAACTCGTGCTTCTTTACTGTTTTTCAGTAAATGATATGCATCTGTACTCCTTCAAGAGCAGTGACAAAATACTTCACTGTGTTTGAGATGAGTAAGCGGCAAGGGAGGGATGAGGTTAAATGAGGGAGGAATGAGGTTGGGTGAAGTGTTTCAAAAAGTACCTTTTTGAGGAGCGGCAACAACAGAACTGTTGTTGGGAGAGAAAACAGGTTCAGGAAGCAGTGGGGTAGAGACAATTAACCAATTATTATGACTGTTTTAGCATCGCGCAGAGGAAGCTTCCTACTGCCATCACTACTCATCAAGGAATCGTTCCAGCCTCCCATCCCTCTTCCTCCCCTCCTAACCCCTCTCACATCTACGTATTTTTGAAAACTCCACGTTAAATTTTTTTTTGCGTCAGTGGACTAATATTTTTATTTTTTGCTGAAGAAAAGCGTTTTGTGGTGAAATTTTTAACTCATTTTCGATTTGTGCTTCATTCGTATTAAGCCAGTTGTGCTTTAGAATCGGACTACAGCAACATACATACATACGCACATGAACACACACAGGTACACGTACATGCACGCATGCCTGTAGACAAATACACAAATATGCGCACACATACACACAGACACACACATGCGCATACACACTCATGTACGTCTACTCATGTAAACAGTATCAAATGCTCAAGTACAATCCCACTCGCGTGTATGCGAGTGTATGTGTGTTGATTTATACGTGTACGTGAATTTCTGTGAGTATGTGCATGTGTTTTGTGTACGTACAGATGTTTACATATGCATAATGTGTGTATGTACGTGCGTATTTGTACGTGTACGTGTTTATATATGTGTGCGAGTGTTTGCATTTGCAAAAGCTGCCTTCCCGCGGTCTTGTTTCTGGTACCACACTTAATCTGATCGCTTTTAAAATCAAGTTTATATGGCAAACTGCAACCGTCGTACGGTTGAGGTCCAGTTGTAGTGCTTGACAGAAGTGTATGCGACTTTATGGTCTGAAATATTCCTTTCTTGTTCTAGTTTTACAAAAAATTGCCGTTTTTATTTTTACAGAATTTCCAAAATAATTTATTCTTTGTTCACTTCTTTTAAAAAATCTCTTCTGTAAAATTTTCCTGTAAAAATTTGTTGAAAGATCGCTTATGTCGTCATGTTCCTATTAATTTGTCCGCCTTTTTCAAGTCGTATTAATCCGTTTTTATTGAAGTGTAAGAGATTTTCGACCTTCAGATGTTTTTGTTCTTGGAAATAACTGTTTTTGAAAATCGAGTCACGAATTGTCATGCGTACCATCCCGTTCCTAAGTGATTTTTTTGTGATCAACTTATCGAATGCGTTAGAAATTTTCATTCCTGTCGTAAAAGGTGGCAATGCAGCCTTGTGAATCCTGAATATGTTTCATTTCAGAGGGTTCATGCCAAAACGTCGGCAGTCAAAAATTCCTCAGCGCATCGGTATGTACCATTTATTTTGTTGGCAGATGAAGAGCTTGAGTTTTTTTCTTTTTTCGCATGGAATTGTTATTCTGTCTAGTTTCGCTGCAAGCGAAGGTGATTATTTAGAAAACAGTGTGGAGCTGTGATGGTAAGGGAAATTATAGCTACTATTGTTGATAATAATGATAATAATAGTAGCGGTAAAAAATGATAAGGAAAGCAGTATTAATCGAAATAATGACCACAAATGTGATGAAATTAGTAGTAATACCAGTAAGAGTAACATTTGCCAGGCGATGATGTATGCCGTTACTAGTAATCCGTAGCGAAAGTTGAAAAATGTTGGTAAATCATTGATCAGTAAGTTATCTCATCATTAACTAAGTCAGTGTTCGAAACAGAATGGTAACGCTCAGTGCATACTAAGAACGTCTCGAAATTGCTAAAATTTTGATAAAGTACTTCTGTCGGAAGTATCCTTGGAGCTTTGAAAGATGAAACAAAAGTCAGCTGGCTGATCACCAAACATGCAGCATTGTCAAAACGGCGGGGAAGTTTCTAGCTGTATAGTTGAAGAACTACACTGCAGATGATCAAACGTATTAACTTAAATAAAGCATGTACCAGAGCATCAAGCGATTATGCGTTTCCGCGATTAGTTATTATGGATGTATGCTGAAAGGATGCAGCTAGTCAAAAGAGCTGCACCACCCAGGATTTCTGACAGTCGAAGTAGTGTTCGAATTCCCAGTGCTCAAGTCAGAGCAAAAAGATTCCACAAAAATTCAACTCAAATACAGCAACGTGTAAAAAACTCGTCCGGTTTTTTCTTGTTTGTTCGAGTGGCTCGTTTGTTTAGTTTTGTCTGAGGTAAGTTAAAAAATCCAGCTGCCGAACACTGTACAGTAACTCCTTCATATACTGATGCCAGTTGGTGTACTCTGCTGAGAATTATAGGCCATTAAGAGTTCCTACCACTCGGATTACCAAGTAGCGTCTCGATAAAAATGTTGTTTACTCGTCAAGTGCACCTGGCTAGGACATTTCGTCCTGGATTACGCATTCAACTAATTTATATCCAAGCCATGCGCATTTTCCGAGATGGAGAAGAACAGAAGTCAGGAGATGACCGTTTTCCTTTTCAAATATAATTTCACTGCAGACGCAGTATTCAGTGTAAATGGCTGATATGCGGTAGCCGATTGTCGGCAAAGCAAGAACCTCGACTTAGTCTTAGTAGATTTTAATTTTCCCATGATGATGACAGTGCCCTGTATACCAGTTTCTCCACTAAATTTTAATCAGAACCGGAAAAATTACAAATTCAAAAATCTGAGATTTTTATCCAACACCAAATGAATGATCCAAAAACAAGCATTCATGCTTTTACCAAGAGTGCCAAAACCGCCCGAGCATCAAGGTGGATATTTCTAGTTTGCGTTTCCACACGTCGGGAACAGCTACGCCAGGCTTTTCGAGTCTGGAATGTATACTTTCAGTTCATACTCACAGCCTGTTCAATGTATGTGTGCCACTCACTTCGGGACCTCACCAAGTGGACGTTTTCTTTCTCATGTCTTCACTTTTTCAAAATGCTAAGTGATGTTATAATGGTCGAGGCAATGAGAACGGATTTTTGGTGATTAGCGCACAAAATTAGTAAAAAATCATCGCAATAAAGAAAGCAATAGCACCGTCAGCCATTCGTTCCCGAGGATGACAAGTTTCAGGGTAATATGCTAATTCATCCATAATTTTTATTAATTTCAGGTGGGAGTACGCGCAGTCCAGTTTGGTCAGTAACGCGTCGGCAGCGTACCGAGCTTTCACCACGGCGAGATGATGAAACCGGAACAACGCAGACGTATAGTTCACGGACTGTGACCACCACCGAACGTGTACAAATGATCCCTATGCCAATCGGCACTGAATCACCTCTGGACATGCTTTCATCAACAGGTATTTATCTTGTATTCTGGATATTGTTATCTTAATTTATCTTGGAAATTGTACTAGAGACAAGTTGGATTAGTGAGGTTGGTCCGACGTCGGAAATACCAATGCCTTATTAAACAAATGATTTTGATTACATTCGAAATTCAAAGACACTTCATTTTTGGCAAAACTACCGGAACAGCTATTGCGATCTTTGGCTAGGATCATCTGAGCAGCACTCTGGTTGTTTCGGAGTTCGTAGTCAAAACACTTTTGACCAAAACCCACAGAACAACTAGGAAGACTTTTGAACAAAACCATTGGGACCGCAGGCCAGTAGTTCTGGTGGTATTAGCATTTGCAGTAAGATTTTTTGCAACAAAAACAATCAAAAAAATAATTGCTCGGAAAGGTGGCGTAGGCGATTCAGATTACTAAAATTTTTACAAAGAGCATAAAAAGGAAGATAGATCTGGAAATTCTCTGATTATGTCTTTTATACGAAAAATAATTTCAACTCAAAACATAGAAGAAGGCTATTAAACCAAATCAAAGTGCGCAAAAAAAAAATCGGCAACCACTGCTTGCAAAAAATTCTTCGCACACTAGGCAGAGGCGTCACTGAAATACTTGAACCCGGCTGCTAGGATAAGGACGACTAGATCTTTGTCTATTAACTGATTATAGGCGATTATAGGCGAAAGTGAAAGGCGATTAGCAACGACAACAATTGGATCTCATAATATGTTACTTGTCGGTGGTGTAACAGCTGACGGAGTTCCACTTTTTACGGGTATCCAGGCTACACCGACAACAGAAACAACAACCATGATTACAACGACAACCACAACTTACAGCACCATTGAGATTGAAGACGAGAACGGTGAACACGAACGTGAGCTATCGGCATCAGAGAGAACCGGTTCACCCTCGAAAACGATGCAGTTGACGCTGGACTTTCCGGACGATTACGAGATTGTCAATTTTGAAGACGTACAACAGCATCCAGCCGGTGATCGAGAACAAGTATACGTGGTTGTTGGCAAAAAGGAATCACCGACACGAACAACCAGCACACCAGATTACTTTGTCAAAACAATTGACATCGACCTGCCCTCCAGTGAAAGTAAGGAATCAACAAGCGTTGAACGTATTTCCGATACAGAAATAAACGGCTGGGAGACGAAAGAAACAGCGGAAACTCCACAACACGATTACGATGCACACGAGGGAACAATCGCATCCACAAGCAAAGAATGTGATATCAACCAGGAACCAATTGAGCGTTACGTTAACGTCTATCACAATGGTGTATCACCTACAGTACTACAGTCCGACAAGGAGCACATCACTAAGGAAATTTCAACGGTCGTAGCAAAATACTCAGGGGCTTACAAACAGGCTTCTATACAAGGTGAACACACGGTATACTATGACCCAAAAACAGGAGAGATCGTGTCAGATTCACAGAAAGAAAAAAAGCGAGAAACGAAAGCGACGGAATCACCCAGAAGATTCAAATCCATTTACACGGTTCGCTTTTCAGAACCATTTAAAACACAAGCAGACAACTACGAACTCGATGAGCAGTACAGGCAAAGCGAAAAGGAAGGCATTAGGCCAGTCGAAATTGATATAACTGAAGGAACTGATATGACAGGTCCGACAACTATACAAGCTTACGAGGGTCCGGTTGAATCGACAAATCGCGTTGCCGAAGTGGAAAGTGAACCACTGGAGCAACAC